CGTCTGCACGTTCGAAATTTTATATCGAAGCGAAGGTATTACTACAAGGCATCGGCTCACAGACTTTGTTTTCTTTAGTTTATGTTCATACTAGGTAAGAACTTCCTTGGTATTGTATGATATACTGACAGATATTGACAAAAATAGCTAAAGCCCTAAACATATGAAGGTCAAAGTTCAAGTCACTATAAAAGGAACGCAACTCTTGAAAACTGTTAAGCGAATAAAAAACTTCTATTGACTCTCTCACATTATTCCATTAATAGTGTATTAATTTTTCTTCCTTGTTTCAAAGTATATAAAGAACATTTTCTCAGCTTTTGTCAAGCAGTCTGCCTTACAAAGGTTAGTTTATTTCTCTTGTTTAAAACTTACATGTAAATAAATGACCATCGGGATCCTTAAAAAATTAAAATCTAACGCTTTTATTCCTTTCAAGAGTTAAAATTGCATGTATTGCGTGCCTGTAATTCGCTTAAAATATTCATACAGAACATTTTTTTAGCTCACCTGAGCCGAAGGCTCAAGTGAGCTTTTCTGATCACATTTTGTCCGGCGTCCGTCTGTCTGTCCGTCTGTCTCTCTGTAAACTTTTCACATTTTCGACTTCTTCTCAAGAACCACTGAGCCAATTTCAACCAAACTTGCCACAAAGTATCCTTGGGTGAAGGGGATTCAAGTTTGTTCAAATGAAGGGCCACGCCCTTATTCAAGGGGAGATAATTGGGAATTAATGAAAATTTAGTGGTATATTTTAAAAATCTTCTTCTCAAGATCTAGAACCACTGTGCAAGGAAAGATGAAACTTATGGGGAAACATCCTCAGGTAGTGTAGATTCAAGTTTGTTCAAATCATGACCCCCCGGGTAAGGGCGGGGCCAAAATGGGCGACCAAAGTTTTACATAGAAATATATAGGAAAATTCTTTAAAAATCTTCTTCTCAAGAATGACTAAGCCATAATTCATCATATTTATATGGAAACATGCTCAGGTAGTGTAGATTCAAGTTTGTTCAAATCATGACCCCCGGGGGTAGGGCGGGGCCAAAATGGCCGACCAAAGTTTTACATAGAAATATATATAGGAAAATTCTTTAAAAATCTTCTTCTCAAGAATGACAAAGCCATTATTCATCATATTTATATGGAAGCATGCTCAGGTAGTGTAGATTCAAGTTTGTTCAAATCATGACCCCCGGGAGTAGGGCGGGGCCAAAATGGCCGACCAAAGTTTTACATAGAAATCTATAGGAAAATTCAAGGGGAGATAATTGGGAATTAATGAAAATTTAGTGGTATATTTTAAAAATCTTCTTCTCAAGATCTAGAACCACTGTGCAAGGAAAGATGAAACTTATGGGGAAACATCCTCAGGTAGTGTAGATTCAAGTTTGTTCAAATCATGACCCCCCGGGTAAGGGCGGGGCCAAAATGGGCGACCAAAGTTTTACATAGAAATATATAGGAAAATTCTTTAAAAATCTTCTTCTCAAGAATGACTAAGCCATAATTCATCATATTTATATGGAAACATGCTCAGGTAGTGTAGATTCAAGTTTGTTCAAATCATGACCCCCGGGGGTAGGGCGGGGCCAAAATGGCCGACCAAAGTTTTACATAGAAATATATATAGGAAAATTCTTTAAAAATCTTCTTCTCAAGAATGACAAAGCCATTTTTCATCATATTTATATAGAAACATGCTCAGGTAGTGTAGATTCAAGTTTGTTCAAATCATGACCCCCGGGAGTAGGGCGGGGCCAAAATGGCCGACCAAAGTTTTACATAGAAATCTATAGAAAAATTCTTTAAAAATCTTCTTCTCAAGAATGACTAAGCCATAATTCATCATATTTATATGGAAGCATGCTCAGGTAGTGTAGATTCAAGTTTGTTCAAATCATGACCCCGGGGGGTAGGGCGGGGCCAAAATGGCCGACCAATGTTTTACATAGAAATATATAGGAAAATTCTTTAAAAATCTTCTTCTCAAGAATGACAAAGCCATAATTCATCATATATATATGGAAGCATGCTCAGGTAGTGTAGATTCAAGTTTGTTCAAATCATGACCCCCCGGGGGTAGGGCGGGGCCAAAATGGCCAACCAAGGTTTTACATAGAAATATAGGAAAATTCTTAAAAAATCTTCTTCTCAAGAATGACAAAGCCATGATTCATCATATTTATATGAAAGCATGCTCAGGTAGTGTAGATTCAAGTTTGTTCAAATCATGACCCCGGGGGGTAGGGCGGGGCCAAAATGGCCGACCAATGTTTTACATAGAAATATATAGGAAAATTCTTTAAAAATCTTCTTCTCAAGAATGACAAAGCCATAATTCATCATATATATATGGAAGCATGCTCAGGCAGTGTAGATTCAAGTTTGTTCAAATCATGACCCCCGGGGGTAGGGCGGGGCCAAAATGGCCAACCAAGGTTTTACATAGATATATAGGAAAATTCTTTAAAAATCTTCTTCTCAAGAATGACAAAGCCATGATTCATCATATTTATATGGAAGCATGTTCAGGTAGTGTAGATTCAAGTTTGTTCAAATCATGACCCCCGGGGGTAGGGCGGGGCCAAAATGTCCGACCAAAGTTTTACATAGAAATATATAGGAAAATTCTTTAAAAATCTTCTTCTCAATCATTTTCTAAAAAATAGCAAATCCATGATTGGTCATGGGACTACTTTTGGATTTAAACTTTACAATAAAAAGCCATTTTATACTAGTCCTACCCTTGGTGCTCAGGTGAGCGATGTGGCCCATAGGCCTCTTGTTTAATTTTATCTACTTATTTTTCTTATTTTTTGGGGTTTTTTGTTTGTAGAAGCTAAAAATGCAATTTATTTAAATGCCTTTCCTGTGTTTTTTACAAATTTAACCGATGTTTTCATTGATAAATGATTCTATTTCAGTCGGTAATAGACTTTGTCGGTATTTTTTTTTTTTTAAATACTCAAGTGACAATTTTGCAAGCTTAAGGGTTCCATGGAGTTTTCAATTCTCTTAAAATGTGGACATTATTCAACTAATAGTCTAGAACGTCAGTTAAATTCACTTTCTCCCTCTCGAAAATCAAATGTTCGTGTCCCGTTCTATTTCGACAAACTTTCCGACCATTACACATGGTTATCTATTACTGTATTTCATTAAAAGTATTTTATAAATTTAAAATTGCACGATCGCATGTTTATCTTATTTTTCTTCGTTGTACGATCGCATATAGAGTCGTTGCCGATCGCCAAAACTTTTGCCATGTGTTCACTTCAAACCGTTATTTTGACGCTCTCTGACTGATGACGAACTTCAAATTGGAAACATCTATGATTTACCCATTTAGAATATTGCATGTGTGCCTTTTAGACTGTGGGGTATACGTAATAAGGTAAGAAATACCACTTAAACGAGCTTCATGTGTAACGTTAGGACAATTCTGTTCAAGGAAAACTTAACTTAACAAAAGATATGATGATTTTTAATGCCCAAAGGACTTTCATAGTGAAAAACATGTCTAGTTGCACCTCAAAAGTCAGAAATTTTGAAGCAAAATCGCGAAGAAATATGACAAAATATTGTTTTATTTAACCCCATCTTCCTAATGTAGTTGAATTTAACGATCGGTGTTGCCGATCGCATTAGCGTTGTCGATCGCGCGTTGACAGGGGTGTTGTAGAAAATCTGAACATACCTACATGAATATTCACTACACCTAGAAATTTTCTTAAATGGAATTTCGGTTAGAAATATATGCATATGGTCCACGTATTGCAGTCCTGTTTTAAAGGACAGCAACTTGTTTAATTCCATAGAAGTTGGCACATCCAATCACACAATGTACAATCCAGGAAAAGTCATGATCTTATCAATGTAAATCAACTTGCACAAAATCTAGCTCTCTAGGTATGATCTATTACTTTTGGATCATGCAAATATCAATCCCTATAGAGCCTGATGCCGTGACGTCAGGCAGCAAGGCGTTTTTAAACCTGCGTTAAACAAGTTCCTCATGGGATCATGAATTGATTGTTTAGTCATAAATGATCTACGTAATTTCATTGTGATGTCATAAGTGATGGAAGTGTACAACACATTCAATTTATAGTGTTGAGTTTTGAAATAAAAATCATTCATGAGTTTAAAACTTTAATACCATACTCTTAGTAATAAATCGGTATATATCTGTAATAAGGTATCATTTTATTGCGTTTTATTGTGATGTAAACGGGTTGGCACATTATCAAATCTTCCTTAAAACCCCTCTTTATGGGAAATGATCACGTGACCAACCTCTTTTACTTTCCAGTAAAACTAAAAAAGAAATACGTTATTTCTTAAATACGAACCAGACAAAGCGGGCATCAAGAAGTCCCAGAAAGCCCTTCGAGTTTTGATCACGTGACATACCCGATCTACATCTCAAAATATACTTTATATCTTAAATACGGACCAGACAAAAGCCATGGGCATCTAGGAGTCTCAAAATGTCTTTGAACTCAAAATTTAGGTACCGCTATAGGACTGCTCTATAAATATATTTGTATAATACAAGCTTTTCGCCGCTTCAAAAAAATTAACTTAAAGTCTAATTACGTTATTAAATTTCTATTGACGTTTACGGTATTCAGTATCAACTATTAACTATGTTTTATTATTTTTCTTTGTTTAAATGTTTTATTTATGAATTCTTCATAGTTGAAGATGCGAAAAGTATTAAAATATATACACTGTTTTTTCCTTTAAAAAAAAGAAAAAGACAGGAAACTTCAGTTGCCTGCATAAAATGACATCGTTAACACTACGTGTTAGCTCAGTAAAAAATTAGCTCTGCCAATAAAATTAACTTCGCCAGCTAGGACTACTTTCTTGTTGTTTGGCTCTTAAGGGATTGCTTTCGTTTAGTTTGGGTCTCGTGATTAATTTACAGGTAGCAAAATTGTGTTTAATTAAAAATAATTATCTTGTTGTAGCAGGACGCTGCTTTATTTCAAATTCCAATGAAGAACACATCTAGAACTGCAAATATGAAGGTATGAAGACCAGACTCTTTTTTTAAGGAAATAAACGATTTATTCTCATGAACTTAACACTGGAGTTTAATTTGCCAATGAGAAACATTATCATAAGCAAACAAACATGAGTGTCATTATTTCACAAATACCTATTTCTATCATTTTTAGCTCTACTGGTCAGAGACCAGAAGAGCTTATGCGATAGTAATGCGTCCGTCGTCCGTCCGTCTGTCTGTCAACAATTATTCAAAATGCTACTCCTCCTACAGTTTTGGTCCGATTTCAATATAACTTTGCACACAAGTAGACTACACTAAGATACACAGTTCTGTGCATCGGTTTTTGATTTCAATGAACGGTGTTGCCGTGGTTACTAAAAATAGAAATTTCTGTGAAATTCTTTTTTAAACAAAAAAAAATGCTACTTCAAAATGCTACTCCTCCTACAGTTTTGGTCCGATTTCAATATAACTTGGCACACAAGTAGACTACACTAAGATACATGATTCTGTGCATCGGTTTTTTGATTTCGATGAACGGTGTTGCCGTGGTTACTAGAAATAGAAATTTCTGTGAAATTCTTTCAAACTGCTAATCCTCCTACAGATTTGGTCCGATTTCAGTATAAGTTGGCACACAAGTAGACTACACTAAGATACATAATTCTGTGCATCGGTTTTTGATTTTGATAAACGGTGTTGCCGTGGTTACTAAAAATGAAAATTTCTGTGAAATTCTTTCAAAATGCTACTCCTCCTACAGTTTTGGTCTGATTTTGATATAACTAGGCAAACAAGTACACTACACTAAGATACATAATTCTGTGCATCGGTTTTTGATTTCAATGAACGGTGTTGCCATGGTTACTATAAATAGAAATGTCTGTGAAATTCTTTCAAAATGCTACTCCTCCTACAGTTTTGGTCCGATCATTTCAGTATAACTTGGCACACAAGTAGACTATACTAAGATACATAATTCTGTGCATTGGTTTTTATTTTGATGAGTGGCAAGGATCATTTTTCTATTTATTGCTGATTTAAAGTCTCCAGTCCCAACTGCTACTTTTTTCTTCCTTTGTTTTAAGTATAAACCAGTAGAGCTACAGTCTCGACAGACTTCTGATTTTAAATGCAATAACAATGCTTATGCAATAGCACTGTATTGTATAGCCAGATTTTGCCAATTAAAGCATTTCAAAACAGCTTTCATTTATTATCCAACGAAGATTAGGTTATACACTGTATATGTATATAGTAGTTTCTGCTTTTTATACTTTGTTTAATATATATATATTTTTTTTTATTTTACAAGTACATTATAAAGATAGACAATACAATATGTCAGGAAAAACAGCAAAATGAAAAACAACCGCGACGAAGACTTTGGCTTTTATTGGTTGTAGTGTTGTTTCTTATCGCGTCCATTGGCGTTTCCGCTGGGTTATCTTTCGTGTTGATCAAAGGTATGATATGTAATATGCATGTTGTTTTATTCAGGATTATTTTAAACATTACCAAAAAAATGAACAGAACAGTTCAATTTGCAAGTTTCTATTCTTCTATTGATTTTTTCCCCTTTTTTCTTCTACAATCATTAAAAATGAAAATTTTATGAAAATTTCAATTCAATAATACAATTAACTGCTCGCAAACGTAAACACAAATATCTTTAAACATCAGACAACAGGAATGTTTAAATGTATGAAACTATATATATTTCTTTAGATTACACGTTCGGTTAATCTTTTTTAACTACTAGTAATATACTTCTTTTAAAGATAATAAACAAACCATTCAACAAGGAACCTTAGAAACAACAACGCAATTTTCTACCACCACAACAATACCGACATCAGGTCAGTGAAGTGACATATATTTCACTGCAGTAATTATGTTTCTTTGTCTATCAATTCATATCAAACGACCGCTTGGCGCAGTGCTAAGAGGGTCTGCTCTAAAGTCGCGAAGTAAGGAGTTGATCCTTACGTCGCGGGTTCGAATCCCAATATTGAATGTTGGACTTGGAGACCAGTGTCTCGAAATTCTTATCAAATACTAGTAAATGAGACGCCACCACTTGCCGGTGGAGAGCTGCCAATTTTGTTCTTTCCTCTGCACTTAGAGCCAGAGAGGGATTTTTTCCTGTCAGCAACTACTGCAACACGGAACCTCGGCTTATACGGTCCTATCCGATGGACCGGTCTCCACGTCCCTCTGTGGGATTCGAATTTGCAACGTCAAGATCGATTCCTTACTCCGCGGCGCAAGAGCAGACGCTCTAACCACTGCGCAACTCGGGCGATAAGGTCCCGAGCATGGGAAAAAGTGTGCAGCTTCATCATATGAGTGAAATATATTCTCAAAGGGGACATTAAAAAACATGCAAACAAACAAACAAGACACCCAGGGAAAATTCCCTATGGAAAAATTTTAATTACTGCTGTGGCTGGTTCAAATTTTTTTCCTCCTCATGGATTTGCATTTTTATAGCAACCAAGTTTGTTAAGCCTGAATTTTTAATATACAATTTTTTTTAAATTTCTGGACGTATTAAACTTCATTTTCACTTTAGGGTTTGTTTTTAAATGATCATCTATTATTTTTAATTACTGCCTTTTGATTAAACCTGATAGCGGAGTTTTTAGCGCGGTGCTAATTTATGCTTATTTTAGCGGCGTCAGTTTTAATCGCTAACTGTGGACTTCGATACGTAAGTTATTGAACGAAAATTGAAGAAAGAAGTTTACTTTGACCTGCATGTTGTTTAACAGCTGTGTACCTTTCATCTGGTGGTAGCTTTTATCAAACTCGGAATCAACCCTATTTTAAACGTAAAATAAACCCTTTTAATAGATTTTTTTACAACACTATGGAACTGTGTTTGCAATATTTTGGCAACCGAGTGCAAAACAAGGTAGGAAATCACAGCAAGTTCAGCAAAATTAAAATTAAAATTTTGGAGTTCCATAATTGTTTATCAATGCAAGTTCTGCAAATTAAGAGTTAACAAAATAAACAAAGAGATAGTAATTATAACAGATTATTGTTTTTAAAAAAGCATATAATATTACAAATAGTTCATTTTTCTATTGGAGACATGATAGAGATATTTCCTCGAATTTACAAAATTACTCAACATTCTATACGTTTCAAGTTGGATTAATTTCCAAACACATCATTTCTTAATCAACGGACATCGTTGAATGAAATAATCTTATAATAATTCGATTAACCTATTTAACAAAATATATTTTACCTATTTTTTTAACACACTTACCACTCTCAAGATTATAAGATTTTTAGCAGGAAGCGTACTTAAGGTATTTGTATATTGAAATCTTCTTTAAAAACATATCCCGTTCTAGGTCTATTATTAATAAGTTTATCGTGCATGTCTAGAATCCAGCTTTATCAATCAATCTATTCTTCCAAGAATGATTTCAGTAAAATAATTTGTCCCCTTTTATCTTATATAATCTGAAGGGAAAAAATTAATAGTTGTTTCTATATGTCTTTTTACAAATTCTTGATGTATAAAACCTTTACAAGTAGTTTTAAGCCGAAATAACACTTTGACTTCCACCTTCCCTGAAAGTAGAGGATATTCCATTTGCTCCGTCTGTCTGTATTTTTATTATACCCCCCGCTTGAAAAGCCGGAGGGTATATAGTAGTCGGTATGTCCTCCGTCCGTCCGTTACGCTTTGGGGTGAACCATTTCTAATCCGCTTACCACTGAATGACATTTAATGAGAACTTTCACAGAATCTTTGTTTATTACATAAATTTCCAGAATTCTGCACCTCCTATTCTACTTTTTGATCCGACACATATTTTTGGTTTTCCGGCCACAGCAAAACATGGACTTTGCCATTATAACCATATGGGAGGCAGAGGTATCATTTAGTGAGCTCATTGCTCACAATACCTCTAGTTGTATTTTTGGAAAGTCTTGCTTAATCGTTAATTTTATATAGTTACGTTTTGTTTGTTATTTTCTAGGTGTGAGGGGGAAACAATTCGTGATCCTTTTCACAAAAAACCTTGCAAGCGCAAAGAAATCTATATATGTCACAGCTGAAAACGATTTTGAATTGAATATTACAACTTCTGAGCACCTTGACCCATCTTTGAAAATGTTGATTGATCGCTCTACTAATGCAAGTTCTCCGCATCAAATCTCTCTACCGAACGCAATTGAGTTGATTCAAAACAGTGTGGAACAAAAGGCTATTTTGCTCGAAACGTCTCGCGATATTTCGGTATTTATTGAGGATTTTGCGCAGAATAGTGCCGATTCTGCCGCCATTATTCCAGTCCACAAACTTGGGACTTATCATATTGTCGTAACAATGCCACCAGATTCGCGTCAAAGTCAAATTGCAGTTGCATCGTTGGAAGACAACACAGAAATAACGATTCTTTTCAAAATGGCAGTAGATATTCCCTTTAACATTGAGGGAAATACTTTTAGAAATGGTGATGTTTTTAATTTGCGGTTGGACAAGTTCGAAACCTTTCAGATTGCTCATACTACAGACCTGACTGGAACGCTACTAAACTCTTCTACACCCGTGGCTGTATTTTCTGGAGACGAGTGCACAAAGTTTATGTCACGCGGGGCATGCGATCATCTTGTAGAGCAAGTGCCTCCATTTTTGACTCTTGATAATGTATTCATTTTGCCTTCCCATGCCGAAGATCGAATAACAGTTGTCCGGATTACAGCTGGAAAGGACACAAATCTAACTTATAAAATAAATTCCACAACTTCAGGCGGCTTAACTTTGCATACAGGAAATTCGCAAGAAATATCAATTTATACTAATCAGACTTGTTTAATTGAATCTGAGGGCCCTGTTCTTGTAACCAGTGTAAGTGTCGCTTCAGCAACCACAAATAATGGAGACCCATACATGACAATTGTTCCAGGTATTCATCAGTACATTGATTACTACAAGGTACCTATCCCATACGGCTACTCTACCAATTACATATCCATTACAATAAATTCTGGCGCTGTGTCCGGAATACTAACAAATGGAACGTCAATTTTGCAATCAAATAAAGTTTATGAAAGTTCAATAACTGCAGCAAGTGGTAACTTCACGGTTTTAACATTGAGTGTAACGCCAGGTGAACTTACGATACAATCATCAAATCATACACCTTTCGGACTTCTTATCTATGGACATGGTGAATATGTTGGATATGGTTTTTCAGGAAACACGCTTCTTCAAGATGATTTATGATTACAGCAAACGAAGTTTTATTTCTTTAATATTGTATTAAGCTTATAAATTGTTCATATGATATTTGTATTATTATAAATTTGAAAGGAATTCAGAACAGTTAAGATGCTTACAAGTATTTTTACATCCCCCAGATCGAATGTAATAATTGACAGGTCTTCAATACAAGCTTTCATTAAAAATGTATCTATTAGTTTCCAATTTTTTTTGTTAATCTTCTTAAAAAATAAAATAAATATCGTTGAAAGTAAAATAAATAACGGTGAAAATGATGAATGTACTTTTCTTAATTTGAAAGTAACCAAAATCGAGATTGTTTAATTTTAAAGGGAGAGGAAAAGACTGAAATTAGAAACTTTTTTTTTTGCTTGTAAGAACATCTTACTTCGCGACTCTAAAGCAGACGATATTACCACGCGGTCAACCCTTGGTCTTAGAAAAAAATCCAATTATTTGCATTTTCCGTTCATTTTCTCTGCAGAGGTTGCACATACTGAAATGAAATTTGGTATACAGATTTATCATAAGAATATCTAGATCAATTTATGCTTTGGATACGATCGAGTTAATTAGGAAAGAGTTATGCCCCTTGGACTTCGAAAATTTGCAATTATTTGCAGTTTCCATTAATTTTCTTTGAAGAGGTTTCACCTACTGAAATGAAATTTGCTATGCAGAATTCTCAGAAAAATTTCTAGGTCAAATTCTGTTTTGGGTACGATAGAGCCAGTTTGGATACTTATGTCCCTTGGACTTCAAACAATTAAAATTATTTGCAGTTTCGGTTCATTTTGATGGGAAAGATTGCAAATTTAGCGAAATAAAAATTCAGTATACAGATTTATCATGAAATATCTAGGTCAATTTTTTTTACAAACATCTCTTGTTCCTTCTGTCTTCCACTTTCTGACAAGCATGTATAAATATGCAGCCTTCCAATGGCAAGTTATCGTAGTATTTTTTCAGTGGTTGAGGTATAGAAAACACCTTTTAGGTGGAGGTGGAGTCCAAAATAAGCTTGGGACGCTTATGATAATGTGGCGGTGTCTCAATTCGAGTGAAAACTAGAGGTACTGTGAGCAATGAGCTCACTAAATGATACCCCCGCCTCTCATAATGTCTATCTTTTGCTATATATTGTTTTACGGTTATGTGTAAGGAGGAATAACTCGTCGTATCTAATGTTATTCAGAAACCGCCATATGTGACGTCATAGGTAAGAATATAATGGCAATGTCCATGGTTTGCTATGGAGAACCTAAAATACGTGTCGAATAAAAAAGTAAAGTACGAGGTGCACAGTAGCAATATGTAATAAAGATTCTGTGAAAGTTTCATTAAATTTCACTCAGTAGTATAAGAGGAGTATCGGATAAGAGATGGGTACCCCAAAGCGTAACAGACGGACGGACGGACATACCGATTACTATATACCCTCCCACTTTTCAAGCGGTGGGTATAAGTATTCTCTAGAGGGTCGCCCAGCAAACAGACTACATTCTTGCATATTTTAGTCATGTCAGTCTTAAGGCCATGGTAAGAAAAATTAATTTGACATCTAATATGTTTAATTGGGAAATGCTCAATTACCTTGTTAATAAAAATTTTAATTAAATTTTGCAATTAGTCCAGGGATATCAGATCACCTGTATGTGCTAGAATTCTTATATAATTTGTCAATGGTATCCGCGCCATGTTAAATCTGTATACCAAATTTCATTTCAATATATGCAACCTTTGCGAAGAAAATGAACGGAACAGCAAATCTTTAGAATTATTCTACGCCCAAGGGACATAACATATGAACGGAAACGGCATATTATTGGAATTTATTTAAGTCCAAGGGACATACCTCTGTCCAAAATGGCTGTCCAAAAAAAAAAAAACTTGACCTACAATGTAGATATTCTTCACTGGGTGGAAAGTCCCGTTTCCGCAAAACTGAAACTATATGGAAACCTTGCTGAAACTTGGAGTTGAAGTTTCCTGTATGGTTTCCGCAATGCGGAAACTATATAATAGTTTAAGCAAGATTCTGTAGGGTTTCTGTATACTGGAACTATTTGGTTTGTTTCCTAATAGTTTCCGCAAAACGGAAACCAACGTAAAATTCAATAAAACGTCAGTGTAACGATACTTTTTAGTTTCAGTAGGCTTCAGTTGCTATTCTGAGATTCTGCCCATCTGAGATTCTCGAATCACATTTCCGTAGTGCTGTAGAACCATATTGTTTGTGCAATACTGTAGTGGCTACATCCGGTTTCATGATGTCAAGCCTAGTACGGATATTTCGGCCATACAACAGAATAGATGGTGACTCATTAGTAGTTCCTTGTGGAGTAATTCTGTATTTACATAGGAGTGAGTTCAGTTTCTTGTTTATGCACGCAGATGCGGATTTCATTGCCTTTTTAAAGGACTAAACGAACCTTTCAGCTTGGCCATTTGTGCGCGGGTGGAATGGAGAAGAGGTTATATGTCTGATTGCATTCGACTCCATAAACTGATGGAATTCCTCCGAACGGAACTGTGGTCCATTGTCGGACACTATTTCAGCAGGTATTCCCTGTCGTGCGAATAAGGTCCGTAAGGTGTTAATTGTCGTATTACTTGTGGTACTCCTCATCTCAATTTCAATTATCAATTTCGGCCATTTCGAGAACGCATCCACAGCTATGAGGAACATGGCGTTGTGAAAAGGTCTGGCGAAATCTATGTGTAAGCGATGCCATGCCTTTGGCGGGAAATTCCATGGGTGCACAGGTGCATTGGAAGGTGTGTTCTGCACACGCTTACATCCAGAACAAGCCTTGCAGACTTCCTCAATGGCTTCATCAACTTTGGGCCATTATACATAAGATCTGGCTACTGCTTTCACTTTGGCAATACCAATGTGGCCAGAATGCAGCTCTGTCATTACTTTTTCACGTAAAATGTTTGGGATGATCACACGATTTCCCCAGGTAACACATCCTTGGTAAACGTTGAGTTCATCTCTGCGATTGTAGTAGGGCTTTAACTGTTCATCACAGTCTTGAGGAAAATGTTCTCGTACCACAAAGTCTAGGACTTGACTCAGAACTGGGTCACGCTGTGTTTCCCTACGAATTTGCACACAGGTAACAGGTAAGTCATCGAAATGTCTGTTGTAGAACAAATCAATAGGATCCTTTCCATCATGTGGTTGATTAACTGTGGGTAGTGGTACACGCGACAGTGCGTCAGCATTACCATGAGACTTGGTTCCACGAAATTCAATGTCATACTGGTATCCTGATAAGAATACAGCGTATCGCTGGAGACGTGCTGCTGTCATCACAGAAAGAGACCTCTTCGGATTGAAGATGCTCAGCAAGGGTTTGTGGTCTATGACAAGTGTAAATTTATGTCCAGAAAGGTACGAATTGAACTTTCTCACACCCCAGTAGAGAGCAAGTGCCTCTTTGTCATTCTGTGAATAAGCCTTCTCTGCCAGGTTCAGTGTGCGCGACGCATATGCTATGGGTCTTTCGGAGCCATCTGGAAACACATGGGAAAGTACAGACCACATTCCGTAAGGCGAAGCATCTGCGGTTAGTTTCAAGGGCAGCTTGGCATCATAGTGGCACAGAACCTTGTCGGAGAAAATGGCGTCCTTTATTTCATTAAAGGCCCTATCTCGCTTGGAATTCCATCCCCATTTAGTTCCTTTGTTAAGGAGTTCAATAAGTGGTCCTGCTTTAATGGAAAGATTGTTTAAGAATTGATGGTAATAGTTCACTAGAAATGACCTAAGTTGCGAAACATTCTTAGGCCGCTGGGCATCTTTGACAGCCTCAATTTTGTAAGGTGACTTGTGTAGGCCTCTAGCATCGATCTTAGCTCACCTTAGTTTGGAAAAATTCACATTTCTGAAGGTTTACATGTAGTCCATAGGATTGTAGACGGTCCAGTACAAGTTTCAAGTTGTGTAAGTGTTCCTCATCATTGCGACCAGTAACAATAATGTCATCAATGATCACTTGCGTTGATGGTATATTCTGTAGTACTTGCTCAATTGTGCGTTGCCATAGAGCTGGAGCGGATGATATTCCGTACGGAAGTCGCTTGTATTTAAACAGGCCCTTATGAGTGTTTATGACGAGTAGATCCTGCGAATCTTCATCTAGTTCCATGTGATGATACGCTTGTGTTAAGTCCAGCTTTGAGAAATTCTTTCCACCAGCTAGGGTTGCAAAGATGTCCTCAATTTTGGGAAGAGGGTATTTGTCGACGCACATTACAGGATTTACTGTTACTTTGTAATCACCACACAGTCTGACGTTTCCATTCTTCTTAATGGCTGGGACTATGGGAGTAGCCCATTTACTATGTGCAATAGGCTGTATAATCCCATCCTCGTCGCCAGTTGTTAAGTTGTGGTGGTGATGAATCGATACAGGATCTCGGTGTTGCAGAATGTCGTTGAGACAATGAAAACACGTGTAGTTTAACTCGTTTATTTTTAACTAAGTGTGAAAACCAAAACATGCACAGAACTATAAGATCCGGATTTCTAGAACACGGAAATATAATTTCCGGATTACTTAATACATATACTACAAAAAGAAATATGACAAGGGAGGAGAGGAAGTAGGGAAAGAAGGAGGTGATAAGGAGAAAGAAGAAAGAGTAGCGGTCAAGAGGAAGGACAGTAAGATGAGAAAAAGATCAGATTCAACCAGCAGTTCCAGCAGCTCGAGTAGTTCCAGTTCCAGTGACAGTGAAGTTCAGGAGAACACCAGAAAGGAGAAGAAACCACAGAGTTAGACACCACTGAGAGCAGCTTTGGTACCAAAATTAGATACTATGCACATCCATCTACTAATGATTCATGACGTGTCGCAAACTGGATCGCCCAAGTTCAACCTGCAAATGGTGTACCAAACACTGAAAAAAGAAAAGAAAGGAGACAGTTTATGGTTGTAAAGGGTGTAACAAACACTTGTGTAGTGAACAATGTTTCAGGGAATTTCATTCTGATGTTAATCTCTAAGATCAATTTGTTACATAAGTCACATAATCATGCTTGGAAAATTTGTATTAGATGTCACTTGCAGGAATACATAAAACATAGAATTACTGTACATTACAATAACTCAAAGGTCAAGGTCAATATTCCTTAATTTTACGAATTATATTTCAAAATTTGAATACCATGTATAGAGGCATATCAAATCTTCTAAATGTTATTTTGGAAACTGTTATTTTGTTTTGTAAATCTTCTTTGCCAGTTAAGGATGATGGTGTCTACTCAAAGAGGTATTTTTTTTCAAATATGCAACATTGTGCTATGTCATAGATCAAAGTTCAACTTCATTCTAATTTTTGAAGTGAATGTTATATATCAGGAAGCAGTCAGAACTTGAATTTTACATGTAAACTTGGTGTTCTTATTGTGTATATACATGTACTTAGTTGAGAAAAAAAATAATTTTAATCTGCAATGAATTAAAAAGTCTATGAATTATAAAGATTCAAAGTCTTTGATGTTTTTCTTACAACTTTTGTCCAGAGCCATTAATAACATCTATGTTTCTGCTTGTGTAATTTTTTCTTCATATTTACTTGAAAGTGTTTACCACTCTTGTAAACAATTATGATCATCCCTACCAGGGTAAAAA